GTGAAATATTTTTGTCATTCATCAATAAAAAATGTTTTGTTATTCATCAAACATTATTATTTCGCTTCAATTTTTACTAGCATATCATCTAAGTATTTCTATATATATAGCACTTATTAAGACTAAAAGTTTTTAAATAAGAGTTAATAAAAACCCAAAATCACAAAAAAAAAATAATAAATATATAGAATATATACCATCTAGGTCAAAACCAAGCCTGAGTCCACCAGGCCAAATTTATTCATGCCCTATCAAAGTTGACTATATAGAGTGAAAAGCAGAGTTGTATTGATTTTAGTACTAGGCATTCTCAGCTTTCACGCTTGTATAAATAATCATATCCTCAGCTTAGTCTGTTTATCAAATATATAGTTATTCAGCAAGAGGTTATGAATAGTAAAGTTTAACCTAACAAACTGGTTGAATACTAATAATCTCAAAAATCCTTGTAATTTTTGTGATTCTAGCAGTCCCCAAAATTCTTTATATTTACAATATAGTGGTTATTATTCGAATAGCGAGAATAACAATAATAATAAAGGTAGTATATATACTGGATTTAATTAGTATTTTGGATATTATGAGTAAATAAAATAATATATATATAAAGAGCAAAGAATTAGCTTTGAATAAAGTAACTCAAGTGAATTCAAAAATCACATAGTAGAGGTTGTTAAAAACTAAATAAAGATCTCACTTGTCCACGTAGCTTGTTTGAACCTATATACAAAGAAATTAACATATCAAGAATCCTTATTAAGGTGATTAGCAAATTTTGTCATAATATCAAAATTAAAACTAATCATGACTACACTGCACATAACTCTAAATTAGATACGTAGAAGATTGTTACCCGCTACACTAAGAAAGAACTATAATGAATTAGTATCATTGAATAAAAAAAGTACAGTATTAAATAAGACTAATAACAAAAATTAGAATATTTAGCTTTAAAGACTATTATTGGATCGCAGTATATTAGAGACAGAAAACGAATATACTAAAAATTAGTAAATAGTGTTAGAAGCAATCGAGCTATTCTGTATTAAAAAAATAATAAAATATATTTAAATCTGACAAGTTTAATATATTCTAATTTTAGGACCAAGCCAATCATGCCTCTATTGAAACTTACATATTAGATTGATAATTTTTTGTATTAGCATTAGATATTTATATTGTGTATCATATCTCTGCCTTAGTTTTGTTACAGAACCATTTTAACAGTTATTTTGAATAGATAGTGCATCACCAAGGTGGCTTCAAATGTATCATATTGTCATGCCTGCAAAATTTTTAGTATGTCGTATAAAGAGCAAAGAAGGCATATCAGGTATTGAATATATGTAAGACATTATTTATTAGAAATCGAATAGCAACAAAAATGCATTTAAAGATAAATACTTTAGTAAAGTCTTTTAAATAAATTTATTGCTTCTGTAACTTGTAAACCCATTGTCTTTTTGTTAAGTAAAAGAAAAAAAGAAAAGTTAGAATTTATAATCAAAGTCTAATCAGCATCCTTATATATTAATTAATTAAGCTTTTAATTATATAATTGGTATACGAAGTTAGAATTGTAATTAACTGTAATTGAAGTATATTGAATCACTAGTATACAAACAGAATAGAGAAATATATAATAAAAGTAAATAATAGTACTATAGTGTTAAGAAAATAGCACTAGGTAGAGCCATACAAAGATACTTAAAACTACTTTTAATCTCTATTACCAGAACAAAAATATTCTACTTTTACCACACCCTATTCAAAGCCTGCTATATTTAGGTTTAGTTTATATCGGAGTGAAGCTTCATAATTCAGTAATTTAGAACAAACAATATAGATACAACTAGTGATTTATTCATCTAGAAATTAGAGTCACCACTAATTTATTTAAAAAATAGCTATTTACATTTTCTTAAAAGAGTATCAAATTTTTTAAAGCTTAATCACTTTCAATATAAAAGCTCTATAAAATTGAAATTTGGTTATATGATTAATAAGCTCTTTCTCTTAGAATTTACTCGTATATGAAATAAATTAACATGAACCAATTGAATAGAAATGATTATTCAATAGCAAATTCTTGTAAACCTGATCTTTACATATATATTAATAACTAATGCTTACTATATATAATTATTATCTATAATTTATCATGCCAGCAAACAATTATCTGGGAAATGCAGATTGCAAAGTAAAATACAATGTTTTAATTTCTCTTTTACAACTCTTCGCAATTTGGGACTTGTATTCTTTTAAGGAAGGTATTCATTTGTTCGACAACCTCACTTGGAACCATATTGATCTCTTTTAAAGAGTTAAAATAATTCAGCGCAACTGTCATTCCAAATGCAATAAAATTTTTTTTTGTCTTTGGATCTACAAAAGCATGATCAATTATTAAGTTAAGATAAATGTAATATGGATATCATCAACAGGTTGATTTAATTTCATATAGTATTCTTGTGTGATATTAGCATTTTTGAATTTCTATTTTTTCTCATGTATAACCTGTCAATTTTCTGTTTTTGGCTTTATGAAATCATCAAATTCAGTATAAATAGAATCTTTTATATGCTGGACAATGTTGCTTCTTGCCTGCCGTAAAAATTGAAGCGAAATAATAATGTTTGATGAATAACAAAACATTTTTTATTGATGAATGACAAAAATATTTCAC